TGTTTTAGCATAGCCTCATCCTCAAATAGCTTCTCTTTCTATTTTTCCGCCTCCTTGTCCTTCCCGGACGCCTCTGGCTGATCTAGGTGTGGGGGCTTAAAATACCGCCCACTCCTAGTCATATAGTCAACTTTGCCAATATACCAAGTATCGTCCGGTTGATTGCTTCCCCAACCCTCATCTGTGTGAGCAAGACATAGATCATCGTCCTTCCACCACATTCCATCGGCAGCCGACAGACACCTGTCCAGCTCCGTTACCGCTGTCCTTGTACTCACGGTACCTTCTGTCCATGTGCTCGTAGCACCCTCTATTCTTGTGCACACAGCACTTTCAGTCCCTACAGGGGTCTTGCCTTTTCTGACTCTCTCAGAGTCTTTAATTCCTTCCAGTTCTAGCTGCGTCAATGCAGTCTATTGTTCAACATCTCTTGTATTCAAAATGCCCAGATCCTGAGCAAAATTCTTGGCACAGGCGCTTTTCGACGATGCATTCTGACTCCCGGCCCTTTCGGCCACAACTGATGTCCTTGCCCTTGACAGGTCCTTTTCTAGCCGAGATTCTTCAACAATATCTGGTTGGTCGTCAAGCCACCCTGTAACCTCTGTTGACTCCTCCACTGCTACAAATATAGATAAAGATTACACTTTTTTGGTGTGATGTATGTTTTTTAATCACACCTTTTAAGTTTTATTAAAGTGTGGTCTTTAGGAGTGTGATTAAAAATGGTCATTTTTAATCACACTTTTTAAGTGTCATTAAAAAATGCTTTCATCACATCTTTTAAGTGTGATTAATAATATTTAGATCACACCTTTTAAGTGTGATTAAAAACATTTAGATCACACCTTTTAAGTGTGGTTAAAAACATTTATATTACACCTTTTAAGTGTGATTAAAAACTTTAGTTCACACCTTTTAAGTGTGATTAAAAACTTTAGATCACACCTTTTAAGTGTGATTAAAAACATTTAGATCACACCTTTTAAGTGTGGTTAAAAACATTTAGTCACACCTTTTAAGTGTGATTAAAAACTTTAGTTCACACCTTTTAAGTGTGATTAAAAACTTTAGATCACACATTTTAAGTGTGATTAAAAATATTTAGATCACACCTTTTAAGTGTGATTAATAACTAATAAAACCTGTGATAAAAAAAAAATTTGACATATTTAAAGAATAATCAATATTATTTTTGCACGCGCATTTGAATAATGTAATACACACTATATACTATATTTTGAATCACAACCATATATTGAATGAAATAATATCATATATTTCATAAATGAAAGTTAAATGTTTAAAAGTATATACAAAGAAATTAATAAAAAAAAAAGTAACTGTGATTACATACATTAAAAAATAAAAAATAAAAAACTTGAAAAAAGTAAGTTCTTCAATTCTTTGACCATATTTTGCATCTCTCTAAGAAATTTCTGACCTGAAAAATAAAAAAACAAATTAATTTAAAAACCACCAGAAGCATATGAATAAACTTACTAATTAATTTATAAACTTACATTTAGATCACACCAAAAATAATGTAATTTATCCAGTTGTTAAACTGCCCCAATCCTTTCCCCACAGCCACCAAAAATGACATAATTATTTTGATTCTCCACACAAATAGTATAAAGCTACAAAGATATTGATACCCTTGTAGAAGCCAAAATAAATCATCAAGGCATGAATGATTTCAAACTTTCTTAAGCTAGAATAATTTAATAATAAAACAAAAAAGTGATCTAAAACTCAAGATATGCACTTGTAGAAAATGACAATATTATTTGAGAAACAAGACATTTAATAAAAGATTTGATACTAAGCATGACACAACAAAGAGAGTAGGGGTAATATGTATACATCCACTCACTTATAGATCAATGTATTGTGCTAGTGTAAAACAATACAGTCTACACCATTCACTACAAGAAAAAACACTTTTGGTGACCACCTTTTTTTTTTGGTCGCAAATAGTCCACTTTCTGCGACCAAAATTTAACTTTTGGCGACCACATTTTTTGGTCGCGGAAAATCACTTTTTGGTGACCAAAAAAAAAGTTGGTAGCGAAAAGTATACCCATTGGCGACCAAAGGCTTTTTTGGTCGCGGAAGATCACCTTTTGGCGACCAAAAAATAAAGTTGGTCACAGAAAGTATACCCTTTGGCGACCAAAAAAAGAGTTGGTCATGGAAAGTATACTATTGGTGACCAAAGGCTTTTTTTGGTCGCGAAAGATTACCCTTTGGCGACCAAAAAAAAAGTTGGTCGCGGAAAGTATACTATTGGCAACCAAAGGCTTTTTTGGTCGCAGAAGATCACCTTTTGGCGACCAAAAAAAAAGTTGGTCACGGAAAGTATACTATTGGCGACCAAAGGCTTTTTTGGTCGCGGAAGATTACCCTTTGGCGACCAAAAAAAAAAGTTGGTCGCGGAAAGTTATAGCGGGATAAATTTTTTAAAAAAATGATACTACTATAATTACATGCTATTTTTCTGTTTAGGCATTAAAAATTTTATAAAATAATATATGACCGAATTTTTATGGGTTATATATATTTTTTGCAGAATATGAACAAGAAGCATGGTGATGGCAGAGGGGATTGGGTGCATGGTGACTCCTTGGTCACGAGTTCAAGTCCTAGGTAGCACAAAAGAATTATTTTTTTTGGGTCAAGGCGTTGACTTTTGGCGACCAACTTATCTTTGGTCGCTAAAAGTTTACTTTTGGCTAATATGAATTGGACTTTCTGCGACCAAAAAAGTTGGTCGCGAATGGTCACTTTTAGCAACCAAAGGCTTTTTTGGTCGCAGAAAACTATCTGTGACAAGGCTTTAGCGACCAACTCGCGACCAACATATTTTGGTCGCGAAAAGGTTTTAGCGACCAAATATGGTACTTTTCGCGACCATAATGTTGGTCACGAAAAGTGTTTTTTCTTGTAGTGATTCAAGTTTTTTCGGTGTCACTTATAGATCCACTCACTTCTCTCAAATTATTTCCCAGCAAAATACACATTAAACTCCCCTTGCTATTTTTTTGCTTCTTCAGAATCTTTGCTAATTGAATCTAGGTGTGAAATGATATACATAAAACTATGACAAACTCTAGTTCTATCAAACCTTATGAACAAAGTTTCCTTATATATGCCTAAAACACAAAATTATGAAACACCAAACATAAGCAAAATTAAAGCAATTATAGCAATTATAGTCCATTTCATTCCATATTACACCAAACATAAGCAAAATTATGAAAATCAGATTCCAAAGTAGCAAAACCAAACAATACCAAACAATGTCATTGAAATCTCAAGTTCATTTTATTTGATACAAGACACCAAAAACACTAGTCGAAATTATAAAATGAAGATCTCTCTTTTATGACCAAAACTTGTGGAACAAAAGTGAAAAATAAACAAATAACATAACAGAGCAAAATTAAAGCAATATAGCAATTATAGTCCATTTCTAAACCTTTTTTTCTCCTATTTTGTCAATCTTTATTTTGGACCTTTTTAATAAAATATTGAATTCCTTTAAACAGATTCAGATTAATAAAATATTAATAAAATATAAAATACAGTCACAGATTTAGTTTGAATGTAAACAGACACAGACTAACAGACACAAATTCATGAAATTAACTGGGCAGTGAGTGTTCAGCTGAAGCACAATCATAAAAGAAAATTTATTTACTTACCAAGTTGCCCAACTCTAAGACTAGTTTCTTTACTGTAGGCTTGAATTGCTAAATGACTAATCTCTGGTCACAAAACCTTGTGTGGAAGAATGAAGATGAGTACAAAATCAGCATTTCCGTGTAATATTTTTTCAAAATTCAAACTATAGGAAATTCAAAACAAAAAAATAGAGAAATAAAAAAATATAGCAAATTCAAGCAGAGGAAGATTGAAAATTGAGGAAGGTAGTTGAAGTTTGATATAAGCCTCTAATCTGGGCTGGTAATACTTATTTGAACATTGCGTGACTTTTTCATGACCAATATGGCATGGAGGGCAACAAATCCACTAAGATTTGGCTTGTTCATTGTCTTTCCAAATATATAATGAACTTATTTTTTTTTAGGAGCCATCAGTGATCAAGTCTTCTAAAAGTCAGTGGTCAAGTTTCCCTAAATGTTTTAAATATGAAAGCACTCAACAAAATAGTTTTCTAATTATAGTTAATCATGTTGCAGGTTTTTCTTCAAGTTATGGAGTGCTTACTCAATCGTTTTAGTCAGTCAGCATTTATCAATTTTGTTCTGGATACTAAAACATTGACATGTCAAACGAGGCCTAAATATAAGTCTAGCCACTAGAGGAGTTAGAAAAATAATCTACATGGAAAATATATTATCTTCACTGAAGTAAATAATAAGAATAAGAATAATAATTTAAAAAATAAAAAACCAAATTCTTAGCTTTGACCTGCCAGTTAACTGGGTCACAGCATGAAGTATCTATGTGCTCATGTGTAGTTAAGCTGAGGTTGAGTATACATATGCATTGAAAACTAAGAATGAAGTGCAATGATTTCATGAGGCCTTGGGCTTTAGGGCAAATTATTGGATTTAGTCAAGATGCCAATGGTGGTGGATGACAAGCAATAAACTCATTCAACCTAGTAAAGGGCTATGCTCTGAGAGTCCAGAGGATTCTTTGGATTTGGAAAACCAAATTAGAAACCTTCCCAGTAGTCCTGTTCTTTGTTTTGAAGTTTTCTTCTTCCTCAAAAGCAAAATATCACTACCTACCTACCAAGGAAGGTGATATGTATCATTCTTAATTCATATCAACAAACTAAAGAAAAATGTAAGGTCATGAGAAGTTATGTAAACTCCAATGTAAGTAACAACACTAAAGGTCTCGAACTGTCAAAAAATTGTATGATAATCAACATCATTACAAGAAAGAAAGTAAAAATTGGCCTGCGGAAAAAGGATTTCAAATTCTGGGGAAACCTGGAATCTATTGGAGTACACAAGAAATCTGAGAAATGAACAAATCTAGAAAGAATAAATAATGAACATACCTGTTAAGCTTTCTAGGGATTGCTCAATCTCCCAGCAAGCCATTACTGCTTCCATTGCATGCACACGAACATGTTGTTGTAGTTGTTCTTTAAAAGAACAGAGCAAGAGTACATAATGTGTCTACATTATAAGAGGAAGATATATGAAAAATAAGATACATTTAAAAAAAAACTTTCCTTTTGAATGTAGAACATGTTTATGTATCAAAATAAGTCTTAAAATGATATAATGCAGTCATTTTATGACCATGACAGTTGCTCAAAGAAATTAGCAAATGAAAATTTTTGAAACCTTATAAGCGTATTGATGGTTACTTGTATTCTTGATGGAAGGAAAAAGGCCTTGGCTTTAGTCCCATACCCTTTCCCCTTACTTTTTAGGGGTAGGGGATCTCAGGTTGGTTCCATTTAAAAAAAAACTTTCGTTTTGAATGTAGAACATGTTTATGTATCAAAATAAGTCTTAAAATAATATAATGCAGTCGTTTTATGACCACGACAGTTGCTCAAAGAAATTAGTAAATGGAAATTTTTGAAGCCTTGTAAGTGTATTGATGGTTACCTGTATTCTTGCAAGAATGTAGGTTTTATAATCCATAGAATATATTATTTTGACAAATATTAAAATGGCTCCCAAGCATGAAGCAAAGTTCATCAGGACTTGTAAAAAGATCGGCTAATCATTATGTGAAGCGTCAAGGAGTCTGCTTCATGCTTGGTGTTTTCTGTTGACACAAGAATTTTTTGCAGATTTATTTTTACAAAATGATTCATAATTCCACCATGTCAACTAAAGATTCCAAAAATCCTGACATAGAATGACAAAAAGAAAAGTAGTGGGAAGTTGGATATCCTAATATTTCCTCCCAAATAGCAGTCCACTATTTGATCATTTAGGCAACTTAACTGTAAAACACCGGAGAACTAGATTTATTTCCAGAGAAATGGGTGCATAAATTCTTTCTGACCAAATTTTAGTATTCAATCTCATGTGTACTGAAAAAAATGAGAATAAACTTCTCTTTTTTTTTTATTTATTCATTGACCAGTTCTGAAGGGAAGAGGAATCATATGTTCAAACAGTACATAAGCAAAACCCAGTGGAATGAAGAACTGTAATTCCACGCAATTCATTATATTTAGCTCCCAAAAAATCAATTAAGAACCTAAACATAATATAGTAGTCTGCATAAAGTTCTGTTTATATTCAGGTTTCAGGAACTGCTTTCGTGGATTTATATGACAGATTTGTGATTAGGCAGAATGAGAAAATATTATATGGCTCTAATGTCATGACAAAAACATGAGCACCATAGAGCTTGAGAACACCAAGTGATCTGCAAGACTCAAGTTCTTAATCAGTGTCTCAGAATATGCTCAAGTATCTGCCACCAAATACTGACTTTGGCATTCAAAAAAAGTGAAATTGGATAATTGAAAGAACTAAAACAACTCCTTAACAAGGCACATTAGATTCCAAATTATGTTCTCATTTTGCATACCATCACTATCCATCTTTAAGGCAAGATTATCACTTCTAAACAAGTTTCAATCATAATACACCAGTTTAATACCTTTCAGAAGATGAAAGTTATGACTCTGTCATTCCTGAAATTGTAACCTTGGAAGTTTCCATATCATTGAGATCAATAAAAATCACTCATTACTGTTATAGTATATAGTTTGAAATTGAGAGCAGATTCAATCCTTTGTGCACACAATCCAATTTTCCTCTGCTGGGGATTTATCATAAAATACTATTTAGTGCAAAACTACCACAGGGAAAAATAGAAGAACTCTTCTACTACCACATCCATGAGTTATTCATATGAAATATATCCATATAAAATTCATCCACCCATGCAGAATAGTAGTTTTATCTCTAGGAAAGTTTATTCCTACAAATTTATAGGTACAAAAAATGAGAAACCTTATTATTATAAGGAAATTCTGCTTTCAAGTTCTTTAACCTCTTTCCATTTTATTGACAGGGTTGCAGGATGTATGCCGCTATGTTTACACAATATAGCTGATGTACAAGTGTAGACTCTTGTCAGTGACGAAACACCTTTCATGACTCTCAATTAAAGCACTCAAACCTCGGAGAAATAAATTAATTAATTAACTAAAAATCCAAAATGTATGGCATTAAGAAAATTTTACTACCATTCAATCCAAGTTCTCTAGATGTGGGAACCAATTCAAGCTCTTGTAGAATTTCCAATAGAGAAAACTCAAATTCATCCACAAGAGCCTAAGAATTGAAGCAGTTTTAATTCAACAACACAAAATAGTTAACTAATGCATTTAGTTGTACTACCTTCTTAAGGAAACTAAAACCCTAAAATTGGAGTTAATCAATGAGTTCATGTTTTTCCACATACTCGTCGTACACCTAACCTAATCATTATTAAAATGCCTTTATTCTCATTGTTAATAGGTCTACAGTTTGAAATGTCTAATTAAGATGCGACGCAGAGAGACAATAATGTGCTTGGTTATCTTGGAAACGACTTTACTTGGAAATGACTTTAAAGCAACAGAATCATCTAGTAGCATATGTTGATCATCTTTGACAGTAAAACATATTTAATGAAATTGTTGCTTCAACTTTCAGATTCATTGAAAATGATCTTGGCTTTGAGTCACATCATCATCACTTTTTACATCTTTTAATTTTGTGAATGCATTACACTCTTAAAACTTTATTTAGATGCGTTTTATATAAATGGTAAAATTAATATCGCATTTCCCTAATTGATTAACTAACTAACTTCAATCAAATATGAGTTCAGGGTATCCTCAATTGAAAAATGCAAAAATTATATTATCATAACAACTTCAAAGCTTTCTCAATCAGAGGTTATGAGATTTATTGTTCGCGTCAATTAATTTCTTAAAGAAGAACAAGAAGAAGAATGCGTTGCTATTGATTCTAATCGTATCTAAGGTCAAGAGCAAGGCTCACAGACTCTTAGGTTTCAGGAGAACCTCAGTTTACGGCAATCTCCATCATTAGCGGTGCATTTTGTAGTCATTGCTCATAGAGTCAGTGCATTATTGTGAGAAGTATGCTGTTGAAATTTTTTTACTACGTAGTTCCAAATTTAAATTTTTCGCCCCCATGTAATCCAAATTCAGTAAATATTTTCTCAAAACTGCAGTTCAAAGCTTCTCAATCATGAGTAGCACTCAATGAATAAGCAGCAATATTGGCCACTTTTTCATATCAACAGTCTCAGCTCCAATAAGTAATTGTCTATCACTGCAAATCAAGACCTCTCATATAATTTAGTAAAACAATACTTTAAAGTTCCTACCAAGAAATTAATTTATGAGCAAAGACAACTAATCAAGACCTCTCATCCAATATTTAGTATAACAATACTATAAGTTCCTAAAATAACTTAATTTTATGAGCAAAATGTTTGATGCCCTTGTTCCAGCCACTCTTCACATTACAATGCAGATCCATACGAACGCAACAAGTACAGAAAGAACAAAAGTAACCAATATTTTCACTATAATATTTACTTGTCAAGAGGATATTGATCAAAATTGATTTAAAAAAATAATCTATAGCAAGGAAAATTTCCGCCCTGATGAATTGTTATGTTCTGATTTTTTACAGCATAGAGACAAAATTGGATGACAAAACAATCAGAAACAAGACCCATAACAAACTCATCTTCAGTTTCATAAATAGCATACACATATCACCTAATTAATAACATCCACAGCAAAAAGAATAATACAAACAAACAAAATTCAAACAATTATCAGAGAAAATATAGATAAAACAGAGCACAAGAAGCTTAATTACTTACCATGAATTGATCGAGCTGCTTATCATCGCCAATGCTACCATGGCCGAGACCCGAATACTTCCCCACCACGTGCTGCGATTGAGCGAGCTGAGCGTCAATCCTCGGCAACTGATCCACCGGTGTTGCGATACGCAAGCACGCAACCTGAGCCGATAACAACTGCTCGTAAAGCGGATACGCCAGAATTTTAGATTTGAGCCTAGCACTCTGCCAATTCATAACTCCCTCGCCACCACGAACATCGCTCCCTGTTATCTCTCCTCCATTGTTCTCCACTTTATTGTTGTTCAAATCAGCCGATTCGTGCGATATCACCGCAGCAGCCATCATCGAATCGTTCGAGACCTGCACTTCGTTGCGCTGAAGAATTGATCTCGAGAGCCACTGATTCGACCCTTGCTGCTGCTGCTGCGACGTGGTCGTCGAATCGGAATTCGTGTGTAAATTGAGGAAATTACCGTCACCGTACTGGTTCTGCTGCCGGAGAATCGCGCTGTTAAGCCATGTCGGTCCAACACCGACTTGTTGTGGTGGTTGTTGCGGCGGTTGGTGGTGATGCTCCGGCGGATTTCCGGCGGACTGGCCGAGCTGTTCAGGCAATATAGTTCGTAAAACCGACGTGTTCTCGGCTAAGTGTCGGTCAGAGAACGCCATTTCCTAAGACAGGTGGTTCGGAAAAGCCATCGAGAAAAATGCTCTCTCACGACGACAATACTCGCATCACATATAGTGAATACATATATATATATATATATAGAGAGAGAGAGAGAGAGTAGAGATATGACATGTAAATATAGAGAGAGAAACAAAATTCAAAATTGTAGATGGAGAAGGGTGTGCAGTGGACGATTCCATTCTTCTTTCCACTTAATCAACAACAAATCTAAGAAATCAACAACAATTTTGACCCAGGAAATCATATATATAAAATAGGAACAAATGAGAATGATGATGAAAAAAAATCCACAACAAACCCTAAATCTTCAAACCCATAAAACTTAATTAATCAAACCCATTTAACAAATCAACAACAAATCAAACCATGGCAAGAAATCATATATATATATATATATATATCAGTAACAAATCAAAATGAAGACGAAAGGGACCTCGTCGGTCGCCGCCTTCCCTTGCCTCGATGTCGCCTCCCCTCGCCTAGCTGCCGGAGTCGTCTGCTGGAGTCGTCTACCGGAGTCACATCGCCTTCATCTCCATGTCGTTTCGTCTCTGCATCTCTCTCAAAGACGGGTTGGGTTAGGGTTATGCAACAAATGAGAGAGAGAAAAAGAGGCTGAAATTCAAAGGGAAAAAAAATACAAAACGATTGAGAGAGAGACAGAGAGAGATGAGCGCGACTGAGAAGAAGAAAAATGAGGGAAATTTTGGGGGGAATTTTGGAATAATTTGTTAGTTTTTTTTTTTTTTTTCAAACGTGGCAAATGGGCGGGTCTGAACGAGTCAAAATAGATTTTGTATTAAAAATTTGTTTCAATTTTTGAAAATTATTTTTTTGAGTTTTTAATTAGTATTTTTTTATTTTTAGTGAATTTTTTTAATATTTTAATCAATTAAAAAAATATTTAAAATATTTAAAAAATCAACAACTAATCAAGCTATTTTTTAATTATATTTGGTTCTAATGCTCGGTTTTCTCAGCAAACAAACAGAGAAGAGAAAATTTTCAAAAAAAAAAAAAAAAAAAAAAAAATCTTGCATCAAAAAAAAATATTGACATCTCACTAAATTTAAATTCTTTGTTTTTGATGAACATAACAAATCTAGTAGTCCATGGAAAAACTAATATTACACCTATTTCTACGTTCCTAAGTATATATCAATGTCAGAATTAAGAAAAGACCACAATGTTGCATTAAATTATTAAAACATGAGGAGCTTTTGACATAATTAGAAGAATAACAATAGAAACTTGACACAACACATCCTACCGGTAACATCAAATAAAAGTTTAACAGCAATACTAATATTATGAAGTATATCAAGTGCTTTGTAGTATTGAAACATACTAATATTTTAATTGTTAAATAAATAAAGATGCTTCAAGAACCATACCAGTTGATAAGAACTTTAATAAAAAACCATCTTGGGACTAAAAAACACTACGATGTCAACACTTTAAATTCTTTATTTTTGATGGGCACGACAAATCTAGTAGTCAATGGCAAAATTGATATTACACCTATTACTACATTCCTAAGTATGTATCTGTGTCGGAATTAAGAAAAGACGACAAAGTTGCATTTAGAATTTGAACATGAGGAGCTTTCAACATAATTTGTTTCTTCATAAATAAGCAGACTTTGTTAAAAGTATCAAGATGATGCAAAGAATACAAAAATTCAGCCCCCAAAGGGATAACAAATCTAAGAAATCAAATCATTCACAAAATCTACAAAAGCCAAAACATCTAGATCAACTAAACCCGTAACCCAAGGGCTATTTTGGAAAATGGCTTATGAGCTATCTTATTGACTTATTGGCTTATTTAAGTCACATCATCTTTCTACTTTTTGTAAAAAAATTTTCATAATAAGCCAAAAAAATTATAAGCCACATATAAAATTGACAAAACACAACATACAGGTAAAATTAAATAAAAGTTTAACAACAATACTAATATTATGAAGCATCAAGTGTTTTGTAGTCTTGAATCATACTAATTATTTAATTTTTAAATAAATAAATAAAAAATAAAAATGCTTCAAGAACCATACCAGTTGATAAGAATTTTATTCAAGAATTATCATGGGACTAAAAAAAATTGCAATGTCAACGGTTTGAAGGTTGTTGAACCTCTTTTAAAAAAAAAAAAAAAAAAAAAAAAAAAAATTTTTTTTAAAAAAAAAAAAATTAAAAATCCCCCAAAAAAAAAAAAAAACAAACCTCCACAGACTGCTCCACACTCAATCCAATCTTTCACATCATATACGGTCCAAACCATACACGATTACACTTCCTCTCTCTCTCTCTCTCTCTCCTCTCTGCCTCTGATGCCACTGCCACTGCCACTACCACTGTGATTGCCGCGTCGCCTCCATCACCTCCGTTACCGCCCTCTCTCTCTCTTTCTTCTCGGCCTTTTGCTTCAGGACATCGATTTGCTTCCAGTGGCTTACTTCTCTCTATATTTTTTCGCTCTCCTCATCTTCTCTTTTCCTCACCAGATCGACGACAATCTGCCCGCCCTTTACTCCTCTTCCATGGCCGCCACCATCTTCACCTTCACATCCACTGCATACCACCATCACCACCACCACCATTTTTACCATCTTCGTGTCATTCTCAGACGACGACGATATGAGATATGAAGGCTTCAAATCTGTTGGATTTATGGTAGATCTGAGATATGAGGGCTCTTCCTCCACTGCTACAACCAACAAGATGAATGATGGAGGCCAAATCTGTGATCGATTTTTGTTGGTTCATGATCTATGTTTAAAGTTATATATATATATATATATGTAAAGCTTCAATGATTTCTACAAAGCAGTGATTTCAAAGAATCGTCGAGTTCAAGTTTCTGCAGCTCAAATGGCGACTCCTAGTACTCCAACCAAACTCATTTATTCACAATTGAAAAATGTTCAAACATCTTCAGATTCTACATCACTAGTAGGCATTTTTTTTTATTTGTTTGCTTTATATATTTTTTAATATATGTAACTCTGTCAAATTTTTTTGTTTTGTTTTGTTTTTTTGTTTTTTGTTTTTTTTTTTGTTTTTAAGTTTGTGTGATTTAACGAATACAACAGAATGATCTAACTCTTCAAGTGATGAGAGATATTGGAAAGTGTCTTGATTATGGTTTCATAAGCATGTTTTGGCTATATTTATTTGCACAGGGTTTGGCTCTGCTTTAAATATTGAAACACTTGTT